CCAGCCCATTAACTGATAAAGAACACCTATAGGTACGATCGTGTACTGTCTTCCGCCTCCAGCCTTCAACCCCAACTCCCCGTGCTTCCACTTCTCCACTCGGTCTCCAATTCTCCATGGCCATGGCGACCTACCATCTGCCGACCAGATTTGAGTGACCGATGCCGCCGAACCAGAACTCCTATATTCTTTTGACCTCTCCTTAAACCCCTTCTCAGTTGGAGTCACAGGCCTTCGAGACCCTCAAGCTGAACACCCACGCCCGACGCACTTGACCTGCTCCTCCACTGTTTGTCGTCGCTTTGATTGGACGCCCACACCATCACGCCACCGACACCCACGCGCTACACCGTTGGTTACTGGTTAGTGCAGTAATGCCTTAGACTTGATAAATATAGACTTGCGAACTTTTCAGTAGTATAGTGCAGTTGAACATCCATCAGCCTCTGGTGCATATTGTGAACGAGACAGATCTGTATATATATGTGTTTTTTCACACTAGACATAAATATTATCATGACATGGTCATCTAATTGTCCCATATATTTGTTTGATGTCTTTAAGTAGCTTGTTTCATACTGTAAATACCATGCATTTTTTTTACGGATTTGCTAAAACTCATTCGAATGAGAAACTAATTGGTCTCATTCAATTTTTTGACCGTCCGATCGAGCCGCGCGAAGATTCGTGCTTCCTCCAGGTGGACTGCTTCGTAGCGACGGGAGGCGCGGCCCTTCTGTTGTCCCGCTCGCGGGCCGTTCTGTTTCTTTTTTTTTCTCTTTTTTGTTCTGTCGGGCTGGAAACGTCGCAGGGGGAGCGAGTTGTTTTGCTGCGAGCTGGGCCTGAGCATTGTTTTGTTTTTGTTTTTTGGGCCGTGCTTTAGAATGCGAACGGTCTAGCCCTCCTACTAAGGTCCAGCTCGTGCTGCTGTTGTCACTCTCCTCGCCTCACTCTACTCGTCTCTGTTCCCCTTCCCATCGTCTGTTTTTCTTCCCATCGGCTGTTCCCCTTCACTTCTGATTTCAATCTAAGCGTGTAACGATTTGGTGGGCTTGTGGCGAGAGATATGGCAGGGGAGGCCGGCGGAGTGAGTGCTCGTTTGCTTTTCTTGTCCTTTTTTTAGATTCGTTTATTTGCATTCTAGGGTTTGTTGTACTGTTTTTTGATTGTCTTG